TTTAAACATAGACCCCTCTTTTCTGTAACTTGACATTTTGGTTTTAAAATGTTCGTACCGACCCGCTCTACATGATCCTGATGATTTTATTTTGTTTTTTATTTCAACCCTCAATGAGCTTCATTTGACTGGAACTGAATGCTATGAATGACGTAGAAAGACAAATAAAAACTTTATTTATCCTAAAGGAGTCCACTAAGTCCACTTCTTCATACAGTCTGTGCTTTAAACAGATGAGATGTATATTTCTTGTTGTTGATTACCTTGAGTTAGGGCTGTCGCGATAACCACAAAAATGAATCAGTGCAGTACTAAGATCACGATCACCGCACGCGATCAACGTGACCCGACCCAGAGTCCTGCACGGGCCCATTTTTAGAGACCCGCACCCGCTCGGACCCGTTAACATTCCACCCATTACCGCTTGTGCCTGTGATAACCCAGGACTAACCCAGGACTAACCCAGGACTAACCCAGGACTAAGGTGTGCCTGCGTAGACCGTCTGGTGACCGCAGGTGAACGGACCGCCTCGATCGCGCTTTGCGGACACCTGCTCCTCGTGCTCGGGGTTCTCGCTCTCTTAAGTCCGCGGGTACCCGACCTGGTGCAGGCCTCTGACCCGACCTGGCGCAGGCCTCTGACCCGACCCGGCGCAGGACTCTGACCCGACCCGGCGCAGGACTCTGACCCGACCTGGCGCAGGACTCTGACCCGACCTGGCGCAGGACTCTGACCCGACCCGGCGCAGGACTCTGACCCGACCCGGCGCAGGACTCTGACCCGACCTGGCGCAGGCCTCTGACCCGACCCGGCGCAGGACTCTGACCCGACCTGGCGCAGGCCTCTGACCCGACCTGGCGCAGGCCTCTGACCCGACCTGGCGCAGGCCTCTGACCCGACCTGGCGCAGGACTCTGACCCGACCTGGCGCAGGACTCTGACCCGAGCTGCCACAGTGAGAGCTGGAGAGATGCAGCGACACTTGTTCCAAAGCCAAATGTTATTTCTCCCACTACAAACACTAAATCCACACGACAACCAAGGTACATGTGCATCAGCAACAAGCGCATCATCAGAGAGTTTTCAGTGCCGCTGGAAATATAGTAAATATTGTATCTCATGTCTTATTGTTTTCTATTTTTAAAAGTTATTATGACTTTGACTGTGACTGTGAATGTCATTGTTCTATCAGTATTTCCCACACACAGACCAAAACCGAGCGCCACAAATTGATTATTGATTGATTGATTTTTTTTCCAAACGCAATTCTGTCATTCTCGCTCACATGTACAGAGAGAGAGATCAACATCTGCACATACATGTCAGTGGGGACACACTTATACAACACTTGCGTTATTTGCTCTCTGGACCCGACTCTCTCTGCCCTAAGCCCACGGAGAAAAGTGCGATCGGGCGATGGCTGCGCTTAGTCTCGTGGGGCGTGGAGCTCTGTGCCCATCTTTTGGTCTGCAGTCACCCAACGGCCCGGCCCGTCTTGACAAGTTATTTTTCAGAAAGCCACGTAAAATGACTTGTTCTGATAAAACATGGAAGCTCTGCACCAAAAGTCTAATGCTGTTTCATTATTTCATTTAGTTGCCTTGTTGTACCTTTTTAATACTTCATTTAATTTGTGTTATTATATATTATATAATTGTTACATTATATTAGGGATTCGATTAAATTTTCCTAATCAATCGTCGGGAGAATTAACGATCCATTATCGATTAATCATTAATGTTTTTATATTAAAATGATCATCATTATTATTACTATCTGCACTACTAATCTGCATAAATAAATTCAACTTTACGACATATAAACCGTAACGACTCTAGAGCCACATCAGCCCGTTTGACATTATAATGTGTTTAATTCAGTTTTGTGCAACTCTCACAGAAACAAAACTTAGAACCTCATGGCTCATTTGCATAAACTAAGCGAAGAAAAAAAAAACAGCTCTTGTGTCGCTGATGTGGTTCAATTTCTGTCAGATTAAAAGACATGACTCAGGTGAATACAGGTTAGTGTGACCAGATTTGTGTTTGTCAAAACCAGGACACCGTACGGGGGGAGGGAGGTGGGGACTCGTCATCGACATTGAGCGACTCTCACCTGGTAAAACTTTTCCCCACTGGACACAGAAACATATGTGCTGCTTTATCACTGTGCACATGGACTCACACTTGTCCCGAACGCAACGGAAAGCAGTGGAATTTCTTGTACAAGTCATTGTTAAATACGCATTTGTGCTTTGGCACGTTGCAGACTGACCGACTGTTTGTGTCTCGCTCCTTCTGAGTCGCAGACGCTACGAGAGACGCTCAGTTTAATGACCCAATGAAAGGAAATGAAAACCCGAACATTTGCATCACTTTATAAAAACAAACCCGACGGATGTTTGGCCACCCTACGCTACTACGCACAGAAACCTACACAGCAAAAAGTGGAGTGTTAAAATTGACTCTCACAGAATCAATTTTAACATTTTCTCTGAGTTTATATGAGTCCAATCTGTTCTAGAGTTAATTTAACATTTTTGGAAATGTTAAATAAGTAACACTGGTCTAAAGTTCCTGTTTAACCCCGAAATCAACAGTTATATTCATGTTCTGAGAGTAAACGGATACAATTTTGTAGGGTTATCCTGATTTAGCTGAACAACACACAGAGGTGTTTTATTTTTACACTTTATTTTAGTTAATTTAAGATGAAATTATAAACTAAACTGGTTCAAACCGGTCTTCTCCCACGGGAGTTTGAAGTGGTGGGTGGGAGGAGCCAAATTAACCCTAAGGGAAGTTGAATTATCTTCAACCATATCAACTCTGGCAAATAACCCCAACTCGAACCCCCACTTAACTTTCAAACTGTAAAAATAACACTTTTTTGGGTTAAAAACAACTCTGAAATATTTTTTTTGCTGTGTACATTGGGGTTGTCGATTAAAAATGAATGTAATCGATGAAATTCTTAATGACCAATTATTGATTAATTGACTAATCATGCCCAACCCTACATTATACTATTTATTTTGTTTACCAAAAAAAAAAAAAAAAATCTCAACATGAATCTTAAAATACAGGTCTTTGGGTAACATAAACTCGGGCGATAGGGGGCGCCACACAAAGCTACACTGTGTATGTATGTATGTATAAGGATGTATTCTGTTCTATTCTTTGTGTACAGCTTTTTGTCCAGCTGTAAAGTTTTAAAAGAGTTTTATAAATAACGTCGGTATGTTATGGAGCTGAATCACGCCCGCGCAGGTTTGGCCGTGTCCGTTTGTACGTACAGTCTATGTTCAGAGGCCCGTAGTAAAGCGGCGTAATTGGTCTGGTGCGTTCGGCGACAGTCTCGGCTTTACTCGGCCGGCGCTCTGCGGGATCTGACTCCGGGTTTAGAGGGACAAAGCTGATTACGGTGACAGGAGCCGCTCGAGTCGTAATCTCTCGCGGCTCGAAGTGAAACTATTCGACGCATCGGTGCGCGAGCCAGAAACCGTGAAAGAAAAGACCCGAGAATGTGAAACCAGCCAAAAGAAACACTGATAAAGCTGCACTGCGTAACTTTTCTGGTACAGATGTTCTTGCTTTTAAGCTATAAAACCACCTGTAGTTGTATAAATGTAAGTTAGAGCTGTTTAAAGTCATACTGCGGAACATTCCAGGCAGAGCAGGCGTGGGAGCATGTGAATCCAAATTATAGATTTTGAAAAGAAGAGAAAAGAGAAAACAGCTCATTAGGGTAAAACATGGAGCAGAAATTTGTAGTTTTGTCTTTTTCTTATGGATTTTCATCACGAGGGGATCTGAGATTTTAAGAAGAATTTATTTTGATTAAAAATTGTAAAGAAAAGACTGTCAGGAGATGGGAAGAAGGCAAGTTTAAGATTTTAAGTTAAGTTTTGAGATTAAAATTTTTTAAGTCAAAGTTATTAAGTTTAAGTTTTTAATTTCAAGTTTTTTAAGTCAAAGTTTTTAAGTTTAAGGTTTTAAGCTTAAGTTTTATTAAGATTAAGTTTTTTATTTTAAGTTTTTTAAGTTTAAGTTTGTTAAGATGAAGTTTTTTAAGATTAAGTTGAAGGTTTTAGGTTTAAGTTTTTTAAGATTAAGTTGTTCATTTTAAGTTTTATAAGTTTAAGTTTTTATGTTTAAATTTGTTAAGATGAAGTTTTTTAAGTTTAAGGTTTTAGGTTTACATTTTTAAGTTTAAGTTTGTTACTATGAAGTTTTTTTTAAGTTTAAGGTTTTAGGTTTAAGTTTGTTAAGATGACGTTTTTTAAGTTTAAGTTGTTCATTTTAAGTTTTTTATGTTTGAGTTTTTAATTTAAAGTTTTTAATTTGAAGTTTTTAATTTAAGGTTTTAAGTTTAAGTTTTTTTAAGCTTAAGTTTTTTATTTAAAAAAATTTTTTATTATTTAAGGTTTTAAGTTTAAGTTTTTTTAATCTTAAGTTTTTAATTTTAAGTTTTTTAAGTCTAATTTTTTTTAAGCTTAAATTTTTAATTTAAATTTTTTTAAGTTTAAGTTTTATTTTTAAGTTTTTAAGTTTAAAGGCAAGTTTAATATCTATTTCTATATCTATAATCAGACATTTCATTGCAGAATATTTTTATGAGCAAAACTTTTACAGCTCAAATCTTATCATAGAACAGAAAAAAAAAAAAAAAAAAAGATAAATATTGACCTTCAAAATTGACAGTTCCAGCTTACATGTACTGAACGATAAGTCAATATATTAATTATGGTGACAGGCCTGACACATGGAAAAAAAAACCTGACACACACAGAGGTTTTCCATTTTATAAATACTTCCTATACTTTTATACTTTTCAGCTTTTTTAAATCTAACTTTTTTGGATTCACGTGAACTTGCCAGGTCTGTTTGTGATGAGGAAACAATATTATAACAGATCAGTAAATAGTGTAACATGGGCCCTTTAAGTTCTTGAATATAAATACCATCACCTTCAAACGTATTCAAAAAGAAAACACTTACGATGTTCATGAGTGTGAGGACGTAGTTCTGGACGTGTTCTTTGCCGTGGAACCTGAGCACCGAGTCGTCCACGGCCAGCAGCACCTCGATGTTGTAATCTTCTTTTTTAGCGTGTCTCCTCTTCCTCTCGGGCTCGGACAGTTTGTGCTCCACCACGTCCAGCGCTCGGGGCAGGTCCGCAATACCAAAGTCCGCCACTAGGGGAGAGAGAAAGCACGGTTACAACAGGCTAGTATTGTTTTTTTTTTTTTAAAGGTGTACTGTGTAACTTTATGGGTGGGAGTCGGTCACCTGCTTGTTTCTATGGATACGTCATTACTCTACCTTACATTTTTTAAATTACAGGTGGTTTTAAAGCTCAAAAATACCTAGAAAAACATTAATTCTGACTGTGAGCGGGGTCGCCTCTCCACAGATCTGACCTGTAACTTGGCCTGGTTTAAAAGGTTTAAAGCCGATATATCCCAATACTAAAACACAGGACGATATATTGCGATTTATCGAGAATTACTTCTATTAATTCAGTCAACTGCACCTTCACGAGAACACACTGTTATGAAATATAGTTTATAAAAGCGTTTAAATCATCAGAACAGTGAATGCAAACAAAGAATTTTTGTGAAAAGTATTATTTTAAAAATCAATTTGGATGCATTTTGAATCGATTCGAGAATTGAAGTATCAAGATATATCACTGAATCGATTTTTTCTCACAGTCCTATTGCACATTGCACCTTTAATGGATTCTATATTACGAAAAATGTACTCTGTAGATGTAGTCTGTTTACATCTCCAAAGCTCAAAATGCTCTGTTCCACCTTGTGATGTCATGAAGCGGCGGTTTTCAAATTAACAGCGCCTCTTAACTTATGATCAGTAGAGGTTGGCAATTCTAAATCTGAAATATCATTTAGAGATTCTAGAGCACTTCTTGTATTACCACATGACATCACAAGGTGGAACAGCGTGTTTTCCGTTTGAGAGAAAAACTCAGCCTAAATCTGCAGGATTTGTGTGTGAATGAAACAAACAAAACAAAACTCCAGGTCTGTTTGTGATGAAGAAACTATATTATAACATAGATCAGAATATATTAGGGGTGTAATGGTTCATGTTTTCGTGCCGAACCGTTTCAGTACAGGACGTTCGGTTCGGTGCAGGGCTGCGCACGAGTGAATTCACGCAATTTGTGTGTGTTTACATTCCTCCACTACATGTGCAGCTACACAGAGACTCGGCTCTTTAATAATCACGAAGGAAGTCGTCCGTGATTGGGGCAGTGTTTCCCGCAGCGCTTTATAGTTAGAGCGGCCGCCTTCTCAACAGTCGTCTTGACTATGTCCATCTGAACCACGTGACTCCTCAAAAAACTTCGGTCGTCGTGCTGTGTCATCACTTTTTGCTTTTGCTTTTTCGCCGACACAGAATCTGCCCCCCCATAACTGCCAGCAGATCTGCACTGAGTTGTTTTTTCAGGCCAAAAATATGAAGATTGAGTCAAACTTCATGCTGAAACTGTTCGTGCTGCACTTTACTTTTTGAAAAGTTTTTTTTACTGTTTACAATTCTTATAATATATATGTAATATTTCATACATTTGTTGATTATTTGAAAATATTTGATTTAACTTAATAGTATTACCAAGCAGCACTTTATTTTCCCATCTGTAAAATGTTAAAAGAAATTATTGGTTTAATAAAAACACAAATAAACAACAAGCAAATATGTGAAGAATCATTCCTCAGTCGTCAAGGTAGAATTCATGGCAAGGAGAAAATTCTGTTTGTCGACTGGACAAAAATTAGTTTGGTTGAAGACGTTTCTCAGCTCATCCAAGCTGCTTCTTCAGAGTCCAGAGTCCTTCTTATGTCTGTCTGCAGGGAGGAGCTAAATAACTACTCTGAAACTACTTGTTTACAGTTTCTGTTTGTTAGTTAGGGTTATTGACCTGTACAAGCAAATGGTGTTGTGTTTTGTTCTCAAACTGAACCAAAAATGAACCGAACCCTGACCTCACAACCGAGGTACGTACTGAACCGTGATTTTTGTGTATTGTTAAATCCCTAGTGTCGTGTAGCATGTAGTTTTCAAATAAACAGCTACTTTTTAACTTTTGTTCAGTGAAAATCTGCAGGGTTTTTGTGTTAAACATGTGTGAATGAAACAAAACACAACTCCAGGTCTGTTTGTGACGAGGAAACGAGATTATAACAGATCAGAACAGTTATATGGAGCCTTTAATATAACTTAGAAAATAAAAGTGTAGAACAGAGAAAGTACAGGGCAGTGAGTACAGCTTCGGTTTTGTCTCTTCGTTTTATTTCATTGAGAAAATCTGTCATTTTTAACCCCGGGAACTGCACATAAAAAGAAGTGTCGTAAAAGCAAAATTGTGCGTTGAGATTTGGAGCTGCTCAGAGACGATCTAAAGCAGATTTTTCACTTGAGAGGAGCTCGATGTGAACGAGATTGGTCCGTTAAAAGAACTATGGAGAAAAATGCTGTTGCAGAGCGGGACACGGGACGCTCCGGAGCTCGGAAGGAACCATTACAAACCACCGCTGTCACCATTCTCAAATCTCTAAGTCTTATTTTTTTATTCTATTGATAATTTGCAGCTGGCGTCATCAACATTCTGGGGGCACTGCTCTGTTACCGTATTTTTCATCAGACTGTAAGGCACACTTGAAGTCCTTTAATTTTCTCATAAATTGACAGTGCGCGTTATAATCCGGTGCGCCTTATGTATTAATTCTGGTTATAAATCAATTAATTGTACAATAACTTTTCAGGCTGAAACAAGAAGAAATGGCTCAAACCCCAGCAGCCGACATGCCCCCCCCCCGGGAGAGTCCGAAATCCACTGAAATCCCACAAGACACCGACACGACACCAGACAGGACAGAGTCTCACAGCAGCAGCCACAGAGAGACGAGACACAATATTCCAACGGAAGTCAGTGACTAAAATCACTTTTAAGGACAATTTTGTTACAGAGATTTAATAATCCATTTTATTTATTGCTTTAGTTGTGTTTGGTTCAGCAACGGTTCATTCAAGTGGATTTTTGTTAACAAGTCCTCGCTGTCAGCTGACATTAGGCTATTTTTATGTGAACATGTCTGTTTTCTTTAGGCCTGTTGTTTTTTTTCTTGTCTTGAAGTTCCTGTGTTAAATGTTCTTTAGAAAGTTAGGTTTATTGATCTTTGAGAGGGTGCATTTGCATTTTTATTTCATTGTCATTATATTAGTTGAAAATGGTCTTAAAATGTCAATATTATCGTTTATCGCAATAAATTCTTGGTCAATTAATCGTCCAGCAAAATCTGTTATAGTTACAGGCCTAGTTGTGTTTACTGACCTCGAACTGATTTTATGTGGTACACGGCGCTCAAAAATCTGTCAAAATGTTTTCGTAAGACTTTGGTAAACTACGAAACTGCACAGCTTGATGGATTATCAGAAGCATTACGGCGACTGTAGTCAGGAGCCTCGCGAAGTTAGTCTGATGAAGCGAGCTGTTTTTTCAGCACTTATAGTTTATGCAAATGAGCCATGTGGTTTTAAGTTTAGTTTCTGTAAACAAATGTGCGCAAAGCTGCATTAAAAACATTATACTCTAAGTATATTTGAGTCCTAATCGTAGGAAATAAAAAAAAACAAACTTAAATGATCCACCCACATTGACATTCATAATCCACTTTCACCAAGAAAGGGAGACAACGCCGGGTGAATTACTCAACGATCTGCCAATGGATCGTGGACGCCTGGACTAAGGGATCAGTCTCAAGTGTCGTCTGTTTGTTTCGCTTAATGCACCTTAAAATCCAGTGTGATTTATGTATGAAAATAAACAAGAGAATCAACATTACTGATATTGTCTTATAATCTGGTGCCCCTTATAGTCTGAAAAATACGGTAGTCAAGTCAGACTCTGGTATAGGGTCCACCACCTGCTTGTCTCCATGGAGATGTAATTGCTTTGCCTTGAATGTTATACAGTTTGGAAATGAACTTGGTTATCACAATGGACTCAAGTTACTGGTCAGATCTATGGAGAAGCGAGTCTGCACAGAGTAAGAATTCATGTTTTTCACTGTATTTTTTGAGCTTTAAAACACCTGTAATTGAATACATGCAAAGGCAGATGAGTTTAATGCCATACTGTAGAAAACAGGTGTCAAACATACGGCCCGGGGGCCAGATCCGGCCCTCCAAGACCTTTAATCTGGCCCTTGGCTGATTTTCTACTAAAATATTTTAATTATATTTTCTATTAAAATATTGGTAATTTTCTGCGTGCTTAGCACAGCAGCGTCTCCAGCGTCTCTGTACGTGGCCCCTCCCACCAGAGCAGCACAAATGAAGACTTGTCTCTTTCCAAACGCTCTTAAAGGACGATCGTTTTGACTGTTGACCGTGACACCCTCATCAGAAAAATGTCCAACATGAGAAAAGTGGAGCCGAGCGCAGGATTTTACAACAAAAATGTACTTATTCCTAAATTGCATTTTTCTTAAAGTTTCAGGTTGTTCATAATATTATAATATTTTGTAATAAAAGAAAGAGTTCATCAATTAAAAAGGATTACAGTAATAGATTTGTGTTTCTCTGCACAAACATTTGAACTTATTGTTATTTTTGGGGTTTATATGTCATGAGTTTTCTGATCCGGCCCCTTTGGGATCAAAGTCGGTTGGATACAGCCCCCAGACCAAAATGAGTTTGACACCCCTGCATTAAACAATACAACATGTTGATATTTCAGTATTTTTGCACACTGTTGGCAGGGATCAGATTGGTCAAAATGATAAAAATTAGAAAAGTGGAGCCGAGTGCAGGATTTTCCACAAAACACTGACTTATTCCTATTTACATACAAGTTCATGTTAAAACTTTGTGTTGAAATTACATTTTTCTTAAAGTTTCAGGTTGTTCATAATATTATAATATTTTGTAAAAGTCTTTCTTTCTTTCATAAATTTAAAAATATTTCTGTAATAGATTTGTGTTTCTCTGCACAAATATTTGAACTTATTGTTATTTTTGGGGTTTATATGTCATGAGTTTTCTGATCCGGCCCCTTTGGGATCAAAGTCGGTTGGATACGGCCCTCGGACCAAAATGAGTTTGACACCCTGCTGTAGAATATTCCACCTAAGAAGTTACATAGTGCACCTTTAATCTAAGCTTTATT